GCCCGCGTACTGCTGCAGCGTCCGGAGCGCGTGGGGGCCGTGGGAGGGCGCGGCGGGCGGCGGCCTCTGCACCAGCCGGTAGCCCTCGGCGAGCATCAGGTGGTCGGCCATGACGGCGGGCCGGATGCCTGCGGGGGCGGCGGGCGGATGGTCAGCGCGGGCGTCCCGGGGTCCCGGCCAGCTCTTCCTCCGCGGCGAGGGATCCGCGTCCCGTGCCCTCCCCACAGCGTAGTCAGGCAAAGGAAAACAGAACCCGACTCGTGCTACTGCCCAGCCCAGGGCGCACCGAACTCAGAGCTCCCGCGCTCCCGGCTGTCGCAGCTCGGGGCAGCTAGGACACCACACACCACGGCTTCGGGCTCTGAGACCTCCACGCCGCGCCCCCGGCTTCAGCACCTTCTTATAGCAGAGGCGGGGCTTCCCCGCCCCCAGGCGCTCATTGGCTGGATGGGACGCTCCTGGGCGGGCCGTGCCGCTCCTCCAGGTTTCAGCCCCGCCCCTCCCGGAGCTCCGCCCTATGGACCCCAGGCCCTGCGGGGGGGCTAACAGAGCTGCCCTGGGGTGTTTGGTGCTTTTCAAGGGGTTTGGGCTGACTGTCCCAGGCATACTCAGTCTGGGACTGGCTGGGGCCAAGCTCGAGCTGACCGGAAGGTGGGTTGGGAGGGGCCAGAGGTTTAGGTCCCCAGAGCTGCAGGATCACAAGCCAACCTCTTAATTTTCCAGATGGAAACCGAAGCTCAGTGGTGGAAGGGTTTCCTGGAAATATACACCAAAGCTTTAACAGAAGCGAGACTGGAACATAGGCTTTGTGATTGCCACCTCTACACAGGGCACAGGAACCCCCGGCGCAAGGTCCCACGGAAAGCCAGCTGCTTGTCCCCATAACCCCAGGGGAACCAGTTGCTCCTCCACCGGCTCCCACTTACTTGTCGGTGGAAGCATGTACTGAGTTGTTATTAAAGTAATTTATGGGCATGTCTTCTGAAGGACTTGTTCATCTTCATGTCCGCAGCACTTGGCTCGGAGCCTGGCCCAGAACTGGCTTTTAGTAAAGGTTTGGTGAATGAAGAAATGATCAAATGAACTGAAACTCATTCACCTGAGCTTCGGTTTCTTCATCTATAAAATGCGGGCAAAAGCAGCACTGACCCTACTGGACTTTTGTGAGGGTTAAATGAAGCAAGACAGGTCCAGTTGATGTGGGAAACAAAGGAAGAAGGAAATGTAGATAAAATGAAATCTCCTTATAACCTGCAGCCCACTGACAAATACTTGAGATAGGCAGATTATAATATTCCTCCAGGATCCTGTGAGTCTCCTTTAGCGTATGAAAATCCTTTGGAACTTCCCTTATTTTTACTTCTCCCAACCCCAAGGTATAAAATCACTGCCCCTCACAATCCGGGAGTGGCGGGCAGGAGGACCTGCAGTAGCCAAGCCCACGGGTCCTGTCCCCCGGCTTTAATAAAACCACCATTTTGCACCAAAGACGTCTCAAATATTCTTTCTTGGCGGCTGGCTCCGGACCGCACCAACCTCACCAACAAGCCAACATTCAAAGAACTACATCACCGTGCCTGCACACAGTAGGTGCTCAAAAATGTACCTCAAATGAATGAAAGGCTGGATTTAGTTCTGTCCTTGGAGACTTCTGAGTTGGGATGTTGCACCTTCCCTTGATAACAGTAACAACTTGCATGTTTAAAGTGCTTCACATTCCACAAACACGGTAACGGGGGCAGGGCATGGATTAGCAGCCCCATTCTGCAGATAAGGAGACTGAGGCACACAATGGAAAAGTGGCCTTCCTGGGTCCTGCTCAGCCAGAGCTAGTGCATGAATGCGTGTGTCCTTAAAGCATCTGGAGTCTCTCCAGGTGGCCAGGAGACAGCCACCCGAACCTTGCCCTCCGCTTTTTTGCCACTCTGTCCCTCCCTTCTCTGGCTTCTCTCCCCTGGCAGTGTCCTTGGGACTTCCTGGAACTTGGGTTTATTCAGTTGGTGCAGAGGGGAGAACCTCAGAAGCCCAGGTTCTAATCGTATCCCCACCACTGGCAGGCACTGTGACCACTGGGTGTTGGGAGGGGGTGTTGTCACTTGATTCTCCAGGGCCTCAGTTTCCTGCTCAGTGAAAGGGAGATTGTAATCCCTGCCTGGTCACCCTGAGAGCTTGTGGCAAGGTCACAAGTGACCATGGAGGGGATCATATTTTATGCAAAGTGTAAAAGCTGCACAGTGGAATTGATTCTCCTGAAACTCTCTCCAGTTAAGGCTTCACATGGAAATTCCTAAGCCGGGCTGCACCTCAGACTCATCTGGAGGCGTGTGTCGAGGTGGGGAAGGTGGGAGGGCCTTTGAAAAATACTAAATCCCTGGCCCCATGCAAATCTCCTGACTCAGATTCTGTGAGGGTATTTTTGAATTATAAAAATTTGTGTTTTTAAAAAACAATCCTGTCGTCATTCTGATGGAGTTGGTCTAAGGACACCAACATTTGGGAGCCATTGTGCCACTAAACAGTTTTCTTAAAAATGAAAAAGTGCTTGAGTGTGAATAATGTTTAAAAAGTTCTTTCATTTAGTCAACAAATAATTATTGGGCACCCACTCTGTGCCAGACATTGATCTACTAGTGGTCTTGAAGCTTTGGGGATCAAGTAATTCCTTGAGAATCTAATGAAAGCTGCAGACATCCTGGTCACAAACTATAGTATATAAATGCAGCAGGCTAGCAGATATCTGGGGGATCCATGGGGTCCCCAGGGGTTCATGGAGTGTGGGTTAAGAACCCATGTTAGTCCTTAGGGACATATAGTAAAGATAAGCTAAGTAAAATAATCTGCATGTTAGAAAGTGGTAGGTGCTATGGAAAAAAAAAGAAAAATAGAGTCAGGAAGAGATTGGGAGTACGGGTGGGGGGCAGCTTAAGTATTGCACAGGACGGTTAGGGCAGACCTCACTGAGACTGGGATTTGGGCAAAGGAGGAGAGGGCAGTAGCCATGTGAGATCTAGGGTAAGTGCCATACCAAGAGAGGGGACAAATGGAGTGTGCTTCTAAAACTGTAGTCTGGGGACTGGGGCAGTACCACCACCAAGGACCTGCCCCAGACCAGGAATCAGTTTCTGAATCAGAAACTGCAGGTGGTTCTGCACCCCTAAGTTAGGGTAAAGCCTCGGGCTAGGAGGGTATGTGGCTGCGGCAGAGCGAGCTCCGGGTTGGACGAGGTCAGAGAGGGAAGAGGGAGGAGGGAGGAAGATCACGTGGGGCTTGTAAGGACCTTGTTAGGCCTCCTAAGGATTTTGGCAGATGAGTGGCATGATGTAACTTAGGCCAGGGAAGCATGGCTCTGGGTGGACTGCGTTTGCTCCCAGCATGCCCAGGAATGGCTTCCTTGCTCCACCTGGGATTGCCCTGGCACATTCATTTCTCAGGGCTCTTGCTGTTCCTTCTGCCTGGAATGCTTTTCCCTGAGTCCCTCCTTCACTGTGTTAGATCTTCATCTCAAAGTCAGCCCCTCACAGAGACCTTCCCTGGTCACCCCCTGTCCCTGTCTCTATCTACCCTCACTCTATTCTGCTTTGCTTCTTAGCATTTACCACCACTTGGCTTTATTGGAAAGAAGGTCTCCCCACTAGCAGGTCGGCTCCCTGAGAGCAGAGCCCTTGATTTTCTTGGTACACAGCATTTCTGAAGCATCAGAACAGTACTTGGCCCATAGAAAGGACTGAAGTAGTTGTCAAGGGAATAAATTAGGCAGAATAGAAGTTATTGTCCTTTTTGACCAAGAAGGAAACTGAGGCCCAGGAAATAACTCAGGAGGTTGACTGAGGTCACAAGGTATATGTGGTGGAGCCAGAGTTGGAAGCGAGAAACCTAGTTCATTGTTGTGGTTTCCCCAAATGTTCCCAATTTTTTGATACACCTCCTTAAATTTCCCTCTCCTTGAATGTGGGCTGGACCCAGTGACTCACTTCTGACAAAGAGAATATAGCAGAATTGACAGTGTCATTTCCAAGATTAGATCCTAAAAGATACTGCAGGTTTCTCCTTGCTCTCTTGCTTGAATCACTTGCTCTGGGGAAGTTAGTTGACATGTCCTGAGGACATCAAGCAGCCCTACGGAGAAGCCCACACGGCTGGAAACTGAGGCTTCCTGCCAACACCCCGTGAGGAACTAAGGCCTTATGCCAACAGCCATATGTGTGAGCTTTCTCTGAAGAAGACCCTCCAGCGCAAGGCAAGGTTCTAGATGTCCACAGCCCCAGCTGACATCTTGTTTGCAACCTCACCAGAGACCTTGAGCCAGAATGACCTACCCACGCCATTCTTGGCTTCTCGAACCAGAGAAACTGAGATAATAAATGTTTGTTGTTTAAAGTTTGGGGGGCAATTTTGTTACACAGCAGTAGATAATACATGAATATAGCAAGCTGTCCCTGGTCCATCCCCCAAGTGGGCCTTACTTTACTCTACTTTTTATTTTTTCTAAGCATTCATCATCTTTTTTTTTTTTTAAGATTTTATTTATTTATTTATTTATCAGCGAGGGAGCGGCAGGCAGAGGGAGAAGCAGGCTCCATGCTGAGCAGGGAGAAGCAGGCTCCATGCTGAGCAGGGAGTCTGATGCGGGACCGATCCCAGGACCCTGAGATCACCATCTGAGCTGAAGGCAGACAGACACGCCTAACCGACTGAGCCACCCAGGCATCCCGCATTCATCATCTTTTAACACATTAAATAATTCATTTACTTATCATGTTTAATTGTTTATCTCCCTACCACTAGAATGTCCAGCGCTACATGGCAGAAAATATTGTCTGTTTTATTTATTGATTTATCCCTAGCACCTAGAGCAGTGCCTGATACATATTATACTTCATTAAAAATGAGATATTATCAATATAAGACAATTCTTATTTTGGAAAACATTAAAATGGAAAAAGAATTCATGGGTGTGAGATTCAATAAAATGGATGTAGGTGCTCAATAAATATCAGAAAGTAGAATGACAGCAAGCTGGTTTTGTTGAGGGCAGTAATACGCCCCGCCCCAATTCAGACACATTCCTAGCCAATGAGATGTGAGCAGAAGAGGTTAGGTGGGGTTTCCTGGAAAGCTCTTTCAGCTGGAATTGGGCGGAAGAGGTGAATCCATGGAGACAAGATGAAGAATGGGGGTTGCCAGGGGCTGGGAGGAAGGGAGAATGGGATCAACAGCTTCATGATTCCTTTTGGGGTAATAAAAATGCTTCAGAATTAGATAGTTGATGATTACACAACATGGTGACTATATTAAATGCCACTGAATTGTTCACTTTAAAATAGGGTGCCTGGGTGGCTCAGTCGGTTAAGAGTCTGCCTTCGCCTCAGGTCATGATCTCAGGGT